AGGAAGTAGGCACTCCACAGCTCCATGCCATCCCACAGAGTAAGCCTAGTATAGTTTGAGAGCCACTGACCCTGAGGGTTAACCTTGATCTACTATACCTGGCTATGTGACCTTGGAAATATCTCTTTCCTTCTCCTGGCCTAAATTTCTTCTTGTATAACCTGAGCAAGATATTACAATTCTATGTGTCTAGGACTCTGTATACCTGCCTTGTCTCCATACATGAAGCAACATCCAGAGCAGTTTAAGTGATGACATACATTATATTTGATGTCCAGCTAGAAAAGGTGACTGTTCAGTTAACTAATCATGCGTGCATGGACAGCGCATAGGAACACATGTGGAAAGATAGTGAAAGTGTAAAAAAATGACCAACTTGGTAGAGATGTAATATTAGCATTCAGGAAGAAGGTCTCTCCTGCCTTGTCAGTCCTGAGTGATGTGCTCTTGACCCAGCTGCCCTCTCATCACAGGACCTACTGGGATCCTGCCTGTCTCTCTTCCCCTGTAGCCTCTTCTCTGCGACTGACAGTGGTGTCAACCACTAACACACTCCTGTGACTTCCTTCCAACATCCAGGAAAAGAGAGAAGACGCAGTGTTGTAGTCACTAAAACTGGGGAGAAAAATAGTTTCACTACAGCTGAAAACTTCGATTTGTATTGGAACACCAAATATATAATGCTATGAAACTATACAAATCCTCCAGCCATGCCCTAATATCTCTAAAGAAAATAGCCAGCTCTGTCCTGAGAAGGTCCTATAGAACCAAGAATAGGTCCTAATGATATTCTGTTAAAGCTTCAGTGTATTCCAACAGTTCTTCCCCAATTCTATTTGCGAAGGAAGGAGGAAAGAAGGCAAGGAGGCAGTAAAGGAGGCAATGATAATAATAACAACAACAACAACAACAAGCTCCTGGTAGAATAGTAGTTTTCAACCATGGTTGTATTTTGAAATCTCCTGGGTGAAAAATATCACTGTTCCAGCTCATGCACAGAGATGTTTAAGGTGCCCAGTGATTCCATTGTGCAATCAGGCTTGAGATGTAATGCAATATATTATATTTTGTTAAATATTGACCCAAGAATATTCCATTGCTCAAGAAGAGTGGGACTCAAAAGGATTTTAGTTGTTAAGAATTGCTACTGAAAAGCCCACCAGCCTCTTATTGCTGAAGTCTAAGAGGCTGGAAGACTCCCTTTGTATTTTCTCTATTCTTTGGGGAAGTACTGCCTTGCTCTCCAATCCTGAATCCCACTTCTCTGAGGGCTGCACAGTGGCCCTATGCGCCTTGTCATCCTCCTTCCTGCTCACCTTTCTAAAATTATTACTGGATCAATGCTTCAGGCTCAGTATAGTGGGAACTCTTTTCCTGATAGAAATATACATTCTGTGGCTTTTAGCGTCCATAGATCATTCCCACATCTCTTATTAGCTAGAGGTTCATTCGTTCACTACATCAAAACTTTTATAACTGCTGGCAAGTTGAAAAATACCTGAGGCAGAGTGATGAATTGGAAAAAGTAGTGCGCTGAGAATCTTAGAACCTTGAATCCAGTTACATATTTGCTCGTGCCTCTTTAGGTGACCTGAAGCGATTCACATAACCTTTCAAGCCTCTGTTTCCTTAAATGTGAAGTGGGAAAGTTGGATAATATCTCATTTCGGTTGCAACTCTGAAATGCCACACTGAATCCTCTTTTCCTATCCACCTTCTGGTAATGATGCTAATGATCATTAAATGGTAAGAAAGTAACTAGAGGGAAAAAAAAAGCACAAGAAAAAAGCTAATGGTCCAGATAAGCCCCAAGTTGACAAAACTGCTCTGCAAGCATTGAACATATCCCTACAAGTTGCATTTTTAAAGACTACCATGGGATCATGTGATAGTAAAATTCAGTAGTTGCTAGCTTCTGCCACTGGTTTATATGAGAAGATCATTCTTCCTCCCTCACACTATGAAAATCACCCTTGCAGAATAAAAAGGCAATGATCTGATTCTATAGTTAAGTTGACCAAAGAGGGAGAAAGCTTTTAAAATTTTTAATTTTTTTTAAAAAGCTTTTAAAATTTCTCTCTAATCTGCTAGGAAAGTTTTAAAATATTCAAACCCCAAGTTCAGTTCACTGTTCCTTTACAAAGCTCTTGCACCCACGTCTTTCCACTCCTTTCCTTCCAACTACCATGACCTTCTCCTCATGCCACCTCCTCCTCAAGACATCCTGCATTCTACCACTGCATATATCTTTATGCCTCTTGATGTATGACTTGTCTACTCCAAAAATGTTTTAAGACTCCTTATTTCCTGAAGATTAAGTCTAGACTGTTTAACTTGGCATTCCCAGATCTCTGTAGTCTAGCCCATAAACCTATCTTTCCCCTCATGGTTCCTCAACACGTTTCTTATCCAGTCAGCCTGCTTTTTGTCCACCCATCTTTCAGCTATGCCAACTGAAATTCCTCTACTCTGCTTTTGCTCATGCTGTCCCCCCTCTATGGAACTGCCTTCCTGTTTCCCCCAACATAGACCAGTCTTGGTCATTTGTGGAAGCTGAGCCAACTAGCATTTTATCTCTTCCACAAAGCGCTCCTGCTGCCCTATGATGATCAATGATCTTCTCTTCCTCCCTCTGTTCCAGGCAGCTCTTACATATTCCTGTATTGTCTACTGTATTTTATTGCATTTTTCCTGGTTAGACCACATGATTCTAGAGGACAGAAATGTCTATCAAATGCTTCTACCTATCTTTCTGCCTCCCTCCATCCTTCCCTCTTTTGTTTTTTAATACTTCCTTCCTGTTCCTTTCATTTTCCTGTCATTTGTACAGTAGATTTTAGGCAATCTAGAAAGTGATCAGTACTCACTATCAAATAAATAAATAAATAAATAAATAAAACCCAAAAACCCAGCAATACAGACTTAAACCAGTGAGATCCTCTGTATTTCTCTTTTACACAACCTGACCACTAAGATGCACAATGCACAAATTCTCTTGTGACCCTTAAATTTCAGCTTGGAATTCCACCTCCCTCAGTATGTTGGTTTGTGAGAAGACTTAGTGTTGCAAGAACACATATCCAAATTTAGGTTCCAATTTTACATTTTAATGTATAAGTTTTCCTAAAAGCACAGAAATGATCTAAGAAATATGAATAATTTGAAAGATAAGAGTGCAGTATTCCAGTATTCCATTCCTCTTAATTACCTATTTTGATGTGTTTAATCATGCATTCCTCATTTAGAGAGTTGGTGATAACAGAATTGCAAACTACTAAATTGAGAAGGGATCTTATTTTCTGGATTTACAGATGAATCATCTGTGGCTCAGGCACAGATATTTAATCTAAGTAAGGTACCTCATCTTGCAAAGTTGTTTGGGCCTCCTTCCCATTTGAAGGGTACTTTTCAGAAGGAGGTTCCTCTATCTTTACCAAATACTTTCTTTTAAGTCCTTTTGTTTCCTAAAGTTCTCTGTAAATAAAATGAAACCCAGAGTTGGGCAAGAAATTCAACCAATAAAGACCTCTTTCAATTTTTGGAGTATCATACTTGTGATTCTAAGACAGACTAATTTTCTAGAAGAGGTAGAACTAAGCCTTGGTTTTTTAAAAAAAAAATGTTGTGGGTGAGCTATCGATTTAGATATTTAAACAGTGATTTTGTTTATTTTTTGATTCGGTTCCAAGGAAGAGTCTAAAACTCAGCAGAAGTGCTATAAAGATGGTGTATCCTTTGCCATAGGATACTAGAACCCTCAAGTCAGGTTTGGCAGGGGCTGGGAAGCATACATGGCCCTTATTTGCCGCAATCCCTCCATTCAGGGAAGGAGTTGTACTGGAGGGATAACCCGTTAGGAGCTTGGGGACAATACACTTACCAAATCACAATGGGATCCCAGAGCACTCTTGAATGACCTCCCTCCCTTCCCTCTGCACAATGTCAGCACACACTGTGAAAGGATGAGTAGGATTTTCCCTACTTAAATCAATCCTCCTGCCTACTTCAAGTATATTTCTGGACCAAACCCCTTCATTTTTATTCTGGAATTTAAAAAAAAAAAGAGAGAGAACTTTTTTTGGGGGGCGGGGGTGTCTTCAGAGTACAAACCAAACTATTCTTTTTGTTTTATTTTTTAAAACTTGGAAACAATCGCAATTGTACTTTTCTGCCTAACATGTTTTCTGTTAGGGCCGGGTGTCTCTAGATGTAAAGGCTAGCGTTGCCTTGCGTTTTCTGTTGAAGCAGCAGCCTAGACTCTCATCCCTGGAGAAGTGAATTTACCTCCCGGAACTTAGGTTTTCCATCTGTTCAATAACGGGGTTGATGGATGGCGGCTCAATTCTCAGCCATCGCAAACGTTGTGGGAGGCTGCGAGCCCCATTGCCTTTGACTGATCCACTGGAATGTCCAGCACAAGATAGTTAAAGGTTAAGGATCTCTCCAATGGAGAGTTGTTAACACAGAGGTCGAAGCACAGGGTCAAGGTTTGCAGACTTGCTGGGCCTCGAAAATTCTTCTCTCCAAGATCTTCGGAGTGGGAAGCTGCAGCGTCCTCTCACCTCTATTCTGCTCCTCCTGAGCCCTGGCAAAAGGGACCCGCAGCGCGTCTCTGCCGGTCCCGATCACTCAGCTCTCTATACCTTCCCAAACCACAGTAAGCTGGAACCGCTACACCTAGCTCTGTTTTTCACTGCCCTGCCACTACAACTCCTGGAGGTCCCTCGAGGTCCGTATTACTTGCCAACCCCAGAAATCCTTCCAGCTGTGCCAGCAACACCTTGCACCTCTTGCCCACGGCTCTACGAGCGAAGCGCTGCTGCACAGTAGGGTACTCTGCTGGCGTCCGGAGCTCCAGTCCCACCTCCCCGCCCCAGTCTTTTCTGCTCAGAGCTCCACGCCCCGCCCCAGGACCCTGCCGTCGCTTTCTCGGACAAACTCCCTTGGTGCTTTCCCGGAGCTCTACTTCTAGCATCCACCCAGGAAGAACCATTCCTTCCCCCCACCCCCTCAGATTTCCCAGCCAAAGCAAAAGCCAGTCAGTGAGCAGGGTGCTTTGTACAGCCAAGGCACCCGGACTGGCCACTCTTCTGGGCGGGGACAGAAAGAGGCACCCGACCTCTCGGGGTGCACCCGGCTAGGCAGCCACCTGGCAGGGCCGGATCCTGAGAATAGCTTTCCGTTTGAACCTGGGACCAAGACTCCGGAGACGCTGCCTCTAGCCCTTGGGCACCCCCTGAGGTCACCCGGACCCCAACCAAGCGCGAGTACCGAGCGCGGCTGGAACTCCGCACAGCTTGCGGAAGCTCAGCGGCCCGACACGCTCTTTTCTGGCCCCCTCCTTGGAGGGGCGCGCGGGGGCCTGAAGAGGCACCTCCCGCCCGCCTGCCTACCCTCCCCTTTTTCCTCGCCCGCCCACCCGGCCTGCGCTGCGCGGCTCAGCGCTGCGCTCGGATTCCAGGAGGGAAGTGCGGCGCTCAGTCCCTGGCGTCCTCAGTCCTGCCCCCAGAAGTGGAGATGAGCGAGAGACAGGCGAGGGCGCGCAGCTCCTGAGACGCCGCGCTAGCCGGCACCATGCGCCTGAGGCCGCTGCCCCTCGTCGTGGTCCCGGGCTTACTGCAGCTGGTGAGTGCCCAGCCTGCTGCTCGGCTCTATGCGCTGGGGATGCGTTTCGGCGGGAAAATCACGCTGGTGACCGACTCTCAAGCGGAGCTTGGGGCTGCTTGAGAAATGGGGCTGGGGGAGCTTGCAATGAAAGAAGTTTTGGATTGCCTTAGGGCTTGAGGGGAAGAAATGGGGACTCGAATAGAGGGGACCTAAACGCGAATGAGGGGCTTAGCAAGGGTTGGGATTTGAGGGCTGGGATAAAGTAGGCAGAAAGTGGCCAGAAGGGAGGTGCTGGAGAAGAAAAAAGGTTTATTGATAAGGTCTGTAAGAGGGTGGGAGTCCATGGGTATGATGAGGATGGGTTGAAAGACCTTCCTGCATCCCAGAGATTGAGAGACTTGGCGGTTTTTATTTTCACGTGTTTGGCCCAAATGCCCTCAGACACTTCTTCCAAAACAGAGCATCATGTGTCCTATTTCATAGGGCTAGGTGGAGGCGCCTTGATGGGGGGAACTTATGCAAAAGACAGATTTTAGGGGGCAGCTTGAATTTCTCTTTATTTTCTGCCTGGCGCTGGGGACTGGGATGGGGTTTTTTGCCGGCTGGGAAAGCGAGATATAAATTTGGCGCCCAACTCTACGCAAGAAATCTTTAAATGGTCTTTTCTCAGAGACTTCTTTAACCTGGTCTGGGGATGTCGAGGAATTGGAAGGGTATTGAAAGGTGGCTCCGGATTTGCTAGCTACACTGGGCGACTATTCCTGTTAGGACTCTCTTGGATTTCGCTGAGACGCGTCACGCTCTCCTCCTCCCGATATATGGTCCTATACTATATACATGAATACGATATGTTTTGCTAGTTAATTTAAGATCGATCCAAAGTAAGACCTTCGGAAGCAACTTTTGAATAATATTGTAGAAATAGACTGCTTTGACTTGGCCCGACTCTTTGATGGATTTCTCCTGGTCACTTGGCACCAGTCTTGCTTGATCTGGTACTATTTAAAGAGCTTCTCCCAAAGCCACGGTTTCTTTGATCCTCATACTTAAATTTTACTCACTTAACTCTGGCTATTAAAACCAGATTAAATGACCCAAGAACATACAGAAAAACAATCACTTCTCTTTCCTTTTCCTTTTAGAGGGAAAATCAAATAACTTATGAAAGTTTCTCTGTGACATGTACAATATTGTACAGGCAGAGGCACTTTCCAAGTGTCAAGGGTGGAAGGGACTGTAAAAGGAGTAGAGACAACACCAAACAGTCTATGGTCCATTCTGTTACAACAGAGATTAACTTTACCTGCACAGTGTTAACTCAGACATTCTTCAGTGGCATCAAGGAGAAAATGCAGTGATATTCCTGAATGTCCTAGAATAAGCCCGCACATACTGGTTATTTACAATACAACATGTTAAAATAATTTTTACATCTAAAGCCCTATGCATCCAGAATATATGCCACATTAATCTTTAGTATTACTTGCTTTAAAAATTTTTTAATCTAAATTTCAATGAAAGGTGAGCCAACAAAGCAGCATTTGTAACGTGTAAGAAAAAGCCTGGGGGAGGGGGATCAGGTAATTATTGTAGGGTTATAGAATACCTTCAGAAACCTTAGTTCATTAATTTTGCATTCAGTGATTGTAGACTGTGTCTTTGCTCCATAACTGCTGTGTTAGATTCTTAAAAATGATGAAATATATTTGGGCATTTGTTGGGGAAAAGTTCTCCTATCAGCTACTATTTTGGAAATGTTAGATTCCTCCCCCCCACACACACACACTCAATAAGGACTAGGAAATGCATCTTAAAGGGATTATATACCCTCCTTAAGAACTAGATTCTAATATTACAGCACAGATTGATTGATTACTTTTTAAGGAAGCTTATGTCAAATTTTAATCCATTTTTGGATTGTGCTGGGGTTGTAATGTTTTTTTCCTGGAGCACTTTATCATGGTAAGTGAGGTGGGGAGCTGCAGCCCTGTGATAAGCACACAAGCCTTACACTGCCATCCTCTTGGACAATAAAAGGCTGTTTACATTCTCCACATTCTTAGAGCTGTTTCCAGCCTTGTAACACAAGGGGGTTAGGATGTGAAAGGAAAACAGAGTGGCTGAGCAGGGTAGATCTAAATTGTAACATTGCCCAATCCTACTATACCCCCACCCCAGTAAATATCAAAAAAGACAGATCATAATTTGTTCCTTTGGATGGTCATAGTTTTGTTCTGCCTTTCCCAGCTGATATTGAACTTGTTTTTTAAATCCTAAAAGCAAATGGATAATTTTTTTTTTTTTTTAGAATTGAAAACTAGTCTTTTTTAGTATTCTAGGAAACATAAGTAGTCAAAAGACCTGCTCTCTGCTATATAGATACTTTAAAACTTGTTGGAGGGGGAGGGGTGGACTTACATTCTTTTGTAAATTGGGTTTTAGTCTTCCATCTTCATTGGCAGCCTGAAGAAATATACTTTTTTAAAAAAATGCTAAATATTTTAAATAAGTATTGGATTTATTTAGACATCTTCAACATTTATTTACATGAAAATTGCCTGTTTCATCTGAAAGCAGTAACAGGGAGTTGGCCCCAAATAAGTCATCAACCACATTATACTGTTAGAACAACTAGTATGTTTTTACTTATTTTTCTGATATTTAGAACTTTTAAGTAAACAATAAACTGATAAATGTTGCGGGTGGCCTATGAAGAATGGGTGTATGCTCCCTGTCGTTGCTCAATTTTGCTGGCCTCTGTCCAGCCTTTTTAACAGATAGGTTGCTATACCTAATAAATGAGATGACTGGACACTTGCAAAATTTAGATACCCACCTTGAATGCATTATTTTTTTGATATTCTTATTCAGTAGCATTCTCTTTTTTTTTATTTGCTCTTTTTAGATAGGCATTACCGTAGAGTGTATTTTCACGTAGTATACATACATGGAATATAACTTATTCTAATTAGGATCTCCTTCTTGTGGTTGTATATCAGTAACATTCATTATAAAAATATTGGTAGTACATTATATCTTTTCTGACACCCAATTAAGAAAAATTATTTGGAATTAATATTGTTAAAAAATGAGTGTTGTTTCATGACATTATACTCTAGTATAATGACATTTGCTCTATGTTGAGATAAAATGTAGAAGTGATTTAAAACAGGTTTGTTGAACATTTCAACTAGTTTTTCTGTGATACAGTGCCAAATTTATAAATAAAAGCTAAAAGTGATGTAAATAAGCAAATTTTTAGAATACTATAAAATAAGAACCCTTGTGATGTAAGAAAGTATTATTTTAAGTTCATCTTGTTATGTATTTTTGTCTTACATAGATATATAAAGGATATTTATATTTATTTTAACAAAGTAATAATTTTAATATTTGTTTAGTGTGATATGCATATTTATTCCTTGTTTTATATTTAGCAGAAGTTATAACCCATAACCATCATTCATTCAAAAATCACAATTTCCTTCATGCAGTACTAATCTATAAACATCAAAACAGCATTTCCCAGGGTAGGATCAATAGTCATCTGTTGGCTAGATGACAATGCAGAGGAGAAAAAAAAAATACTTCCATATCATGGTTATGACTGAGAGATAGCTGGGCTTTAAAATTAATGAGCATCAATGTCTTAGAATTTTTAAAAATATTAATTAAGATTGGACAATTAAGTCCTTGGTTCCAGCCATCCATCTCTCAGTAAAAATTGAATTTTTCTTAGCCTATTCTGAGATTATGGTACCTGGTCCAGTTTAAATGCCTTTGACAGAAACTGACTCCTCTGGGGAACTTACATTGCTTGATAGATTTCCGAATTAAAAAAGAAAAGCTTTTTAAAATCTTCATTCTCTATTTTTTTCTGAATTTTCTTTTCTTTTTATTGTTTCCGTTTAGGGGTCAGAATGCTAAATAAGGTAGAAGTCTTTTTGAAAAACCTTTCAAGGTTTACATTGTCAGTTTAAAATGCATAGTTATTGCAAAGTGAATGAATTAAATGTTAATTTGTCATGTGCAACATGATGTTTTGAAGCATACATTTATAATATATTACCTATCTTTTATCTATTAAGGAGTTAATCGATGCATCTTGAATGGTTTAATCATTTAGTGGTAGCAATCAAAGGTGAATAAATGTGTCACAGGGTTGTGATTTTATAAAAGCTCTAGGATGTCTCCTACTGTTTACATATTCTGTAGACTCCTTTACCTGAAGCTTTGCTGGGTAAGATTTGAAAAAAAAGAATTATAACCACATACTGAAGTGCCTACAGTTAAGGCTGTGTCAGCGTTTCTGTGAAGAATCTCATTTCTATCTTAGCCATAAGCATTATTGCTGGTTAGAGGCTGGCATTTAATATCTTGATTTGGGAGTCAATTATTTTAAAGCTGCTTTAAAAAATTGGCTCAAATGATTCTGAGCACTCACCCATGAGAGGTTCCTCTCTAGGTATGCTTATAGTATGCAGGATGGTGATTTAGAAAACTAATTTCTGTATTATTGACTTAATGACTAAACTAACAGGCAGAATCCTATAGTTAAGACTTGCATATGATTATAACCTAAGTTGTAATAAAATTATTTTAGGTAATCTTTTTTCAATTAACCTATTTATTGTATCGTTGTGTGACTTTGTAACACTGTTTTATCAGAAGCCTTTCTTGTTGTGTCAGACTCAGGTACCCTAATCAGTGTTTTTATGAATCTTTATTTACTAACAATCTTTTAAATTTTGTATTACTAGTGATATGACCAGTGGTGTGGATGACAACTCTATTCTTTATTTGCAAGTTCTGCTCAATAAAAAAGTGATCTCAAGTAATTTACAGTATAGATTTTTTATATTATGCAAAAGATTCTAAGATTTAATTGACTGAAAATGTCTATTTTATGCTACTTTAATTTGTGAAACTCTAAATGTAGACCCGCAAAAAAACTGTTTGGTTCAATATGCTGTACAATTTGTATAATAAGGAATTCTGTTTCTTTATAGAACTACCAT